ATAGTTACCCTAACTATAACCCTACTAACTAAGTCCCATGATCCTTTAAGTAGAGTGCTTCAGCTCAGGGCACAGAAGCATGTCCAGGCTCAAATCTTAATTGCACGTAGTCCTGGCACATCGGGAAGCAGTTCTAGCCTGACAGACCAAACGTCAAACCCGAATTTTGGCCTGTAGTGTGATTTATCGTTTGAGCATGTAGTGAGACGGCTGTTTTACTTAGTCCACCGACAAGTCTGGTGCAGCAGCCGGTTGCATCGAACTCTAGGAATTGAAGCCTGAAAGTCCTTGAACCCTAAATAACCCGAAATCCTTAAACCCTACACACCACAAACCCTAAACCCTAAAACCTAAACCCTAACTATGAACCCTGAAAAAGCCTGAAGAGCCCAAGAACCGGGCTCCAGGTCTACGAAGTCGCGCAGGTCCGTGTCAAACCTCAGCTCTCGCGCGCAATCCGCGGAGTACAGACGTCTCGGTAAACGCTGGAATAGAGGGGCCCTGATGACTGGAAATGGGATCTAGGGGGATCGGTATTATAGTTTGATAAAGCTTGCTAGAAGTATCGCAACAGTATACTAGAAAGCCCCAAAGTCTACGAGATCCGGACAGAAACTCGTCTGCCACATGCATAGAAGTGGGGTGGAGGGGTGTCTTTTCATGGGTACGCTCCGCATCTGCAACACCGTCATCGCAATCATCAGCATGTGGCCACTAGTCTGATGGCCACGGTCATCGCCACCATCCATTGTTGCTATTCCTCTTCTTCCCGCTAGCCATTCTCGTCGGTATTTTCACCGGCATCACCGTCATGTACTTGATTCTGAAACTAGTCACGCGAACATGCATCAGCAAAGGTTGCGATCGATGAAGCTCGTATGTCCAGCAACAGATCGCATGCTCAGGCAGCCTGCCAAGTGCTGATACTATCACGTTGCCGTCGGCTGCCAGGAATTTCTCAACTTCGCTTGAAACTGAATGGCATATGTACCCGTCTCCATTGTAGTTCCTTTTTGGGGATACCTTATAAAATCCTTAATATATACTTGGTTAAACCAAAAAAAGGAACTACAATGGATACTGTAGGTACTGTACAAACCAGAGCTGGGATTCCCCGCTCGTGCTCAGAGAGAAACACCACGTCAGGTATCTGGCCAAGCACGAGCAGTATCAATGCACCCGCGTGCCTCCCTGCCTATAGTTTCCATTGTAGTTCCTTTTTTTGGTTCAACCAGTTGTATTATCAAGGATTTTA